GGATTCCCTCCACAGCACACAGCAGCAGCCAATTACCAACACACACTAATTAGTTTACCCACACATACTAATTAGTTTTCCCACACAGACTAATTCTTATATTGAGTCTTGGAATATATTTTGTTGTTGAGTTGCAAAAAAAAAAAAAGGCATCATTTTTAAATGAATAAGAAACTTCCCCTTTTCCTGGTAAAAGAGCAAAAGTATCATCCATCCATGGTCCCCTGGGGGGTCTCTCAGGTCCCAAGACCCTAATGTGCCAAGCAGTCAAAGCCAAACCCCGAAAAGCAGCCCCTCTCTGGTGACAGCATACCTTATCCTCTCCTCCTCCATGATCTGGACCTCCTGGTCCCGGTACAGGACCTGGAGAATGGCCTCCTGCTCCAGCTCCTTCAGGGCACTCAGATTTAAGTCTTGGGTCATTTTCTCTCCTTCTCTGGGGCGCCGAGTTTCAAGTCTGCCCACAGCCACCACCAAAGCTTCCCCCGGCGGTCAGCAGGCCCGGGCAGCCGGCCGAGAGCCTGAGAGGCCCCCTCTACTCTCGGGCCGGCTACTGCCTTTCGGTTGTGTTTCTTGCTTTCTTTTTTAACTGTGTCCTTTAGCAAGACCTAAAAGGCTGTCCCTCTGGGGAAGTCATTGTCCCCGGAGGCTCGGAGCATGATCACCGGGCCCTGACATCCGTCAAGACTCTATCTTTCTGAGGTTTTGCCAAAGATTGTTACAAAGCACACAGGGCTCCCGCAGAGAATTTCTGCAAAGTAGAAGTCAGCTCCACGGGACAAGGACTGGAGGCGACAACTGTCCCTTCACACGCGGTCCTGCAGGTCAGAGCACCTCCTGCACAAAAGAAAACAGCAAATAAAGAAGGTGTCAGCTTGCTGGCCCGGGATCTCGGCTGCCATTGCTTCAGAAAGTTCTACACAGGCAACAGCCTTCGCATTTTCTGAGTAGGGGGATGGGCTAGGGAGATAACGGAAGAACTGGCATTGTGTTGAATCTTACGCAAGTTTTTAAACCCACTGCCACCATGTGGATCCGGACCATTGCAGCCCCCTGCTGTCACTTAGCTAAAAACAGATGACAAACGGATGGAATTGACCTAAATTTATCCAAAATGCTGATTCACTGTAAGATACCTCGTCACTACCGCAAGCCTCCAAACTTGTGTCTCCCCAAGATGCAGTCTGAGCCTCCAGAAGCCGGGGGTCGAGGTCTGTGGCTAAGGGTGAAAGTCCCAGAGAAGAGCTAGAATGTTCTCGAAGGGTCAGCTCCTGTTTACAACCAGCCTCCAAACAATGAGGTGATGTGAAGGGTGAGGGAGGCTGGAGGCGCCGGCCAGCTCCCCAGCCTGAGTAGCCGTGGCCAAGACTCCTGTCATGGGGTCTGCATCTGTGGGGCCGGGTGTGGAAAGGGTCTGCACCCGCCCTGCCTGCTCTCCTTCCCACCCTGAAGCCCTCTCCTGCCCCGCCCCTACCAGCCCAGCATCAAGCCAAGAGAGGACGGGGCTGGGTCAGGCAGCAGATGGATGCCCGTCAGCGAGATGCGGAGAATGCCAAGGCTGCCCTTTCTGGAGGCCGGTTCTGGGATCAAACACGAGTGGAGCCCTTGAGGCTGGGTCTCCCTGGGTCAGAATCCACTCCACGGCCCTGAGTTTGGCTTTGAGCTTTGATCTCAGCACCTTTGAAGTGAAGTTCCCTTTGTTAACCTTCCACAGAACCCGCATCCTGCGGATCCAGGATCTTAGCAATGGAGATACAAAACCAGAGGATGATATCGAGTCCTCAGGTGCCCTGGAAGAGCCTGGTGGCACGGTGATGAAGGCGCCCGACCGCTCACCATAAGGTCGAGGGTTCAGGTCCACCAGCCACTCTGTGGGACAGTGATGTAGCAGTCTGCTCCTGTAGACACAGGCAGCCTGGACACACTATGGGGCAATGCTGCGTTGTCCTCAAGGCTCAATCGATATGAGTCAGAACCCCGACAACACCGAACAATAACAATATTGCTCAGAAAAGCAGCTTCTGGCCTCTGGTCCGTAAAGCTGGAAACACCCAAACCTACTGCCAACCAGATGATGCCGACTCACAGAACACCCAAACCTACTGCCAACCAGATGATGCCGACTCACAGAACGGCTCCCAGAGAAAGGGGAACTGCCCCGGTGGGTTTCCTAGGCTGTACCTCATGATGGGAGCAGACAGCTGCATCTCTCTCCCATGGAGCGGCTGGTGGATTCGAACCCCTGACCTTTTGGTTAACAGGTGAGCACTTACGTACTTTACCCATTGGACCACCAGGCCTCAGTAACGTGCCCTCAAGTCCCTCTCCTCCAAAGGATTTCCGTCTAGATGGCAGGAGAGCTTCGAAGCAATCAGACCTGCGGGCCTCAACTCACCCACTGCACCTCAGAGGGCTGCCGCGGGTCCCTCTCATCCCAAGGCACCGAGGCTGGACAGAGGAGCCAATAGCAAGCCATGTGTCATGAGGCACGTGGGGTCCCAGGGTGCCGACGATGGTTAGCATGCTCGGCTGAGGCGTAGGCAGTTTTAACCCTCTGACTTTTCACAGAAGGAAGGCCTGGCAATCCACTTCTAAAACAGCACCCCCCCC